CCGTCACATGGTAACCAGGTGATATGATGAAGTGGACCCAAAATTTATCTTAACTATAAAGAGAAGATTAAAAAACGTGCAAGCCGATTCCTAATAAAGCTAATTATGAATCAGTAAATTTAATTTTTTTTAAATTAAAAGAATTGGTGCTTAGTAAAAGAGGCAGAAGAAATTCTCTTAAGAGACTTTATTCTCTTACAAATCTATAAAATGTAAAGACGACCGTTGCTGTCATTTGTGACGGGCAGCGTCTCCCCAGAGTGTTAAAAAATGAGTCAGCTTATTTATACCACGAAACGTCCATTCTCCTGCCTGCTTTCGAACGAGGATTTGGGGCCGGAGTGTCGATGAGGGGCAACTTAAAGCTGGGTCCATGGAGCTTCTGAAAAGATACATTTTGCAGTTCGTCCGGCAGGATAGGAAGTACTGACTCGAGGATCCAGGGTTGCTTCTCCACTAAGTCAATGAAATCATACAGCTGGATACCCTCCGGTCTCCCCTCGAGAATTATTTTGCTGATATAGTCAACAGTTTCACGAATGGGTACCTTACCCTCCAACTCTGGGTTCGCAACCGTTACGGAAAGGTCAAAACTATCCTTGAGGAAGTTTGTTATTTCCACACTCCTTCGTAGTACTCCATCTCCATCGTGGTCCAGTGCATAAAAGACCAGTTCGGCGCGTTCGGTTAATGAACCGCGTAGGAGGTAAGAGAGGAAGAGAACAAACTCGAAGTCACTCACAGTTCGATTCCAACCCAAACGTCGAGTTCTCTGAGCCAAATGGGTGGCTGCCCGGTGGAGACCATCAAGTGTTTCGGGTTTGCATATGCCTAGCGTCGTATGTAAGAAGTCCTGAAATTCATATCCGGTTAAGTCTCGGTGTTCGCAGCGCACCATACGGTAGAACATCTGCAGCAAAATTGACACCTCCGAGTTTGAGAAGTGAATGCGAGCATCATCTTCACACAGAACAACCACTGGTTTGATTAAAAGGCTTATGTGAGTATTCACTTTCTCTCCTCTATTTTTGATAGACCGGGTATCGACACTGCTGAGGACTGTCCGGATAAACTCCTTCGGTCGAGCTTGCTTACGGGCCTCGCGCAAATGCGGATCCCATGGATTGAATACAGAGGGAGCCTTAAAATTTGGAAGGCCTCTTACGTATATAATGCTGGGCAACCGCTGTCCTTTCATGGCTCACCGAGAGTTCAATGAATGGTGTGGCCGTACTGACAAACAGTCATTTAGCCAGTTATGAATTTAAAAAATCGATAAACAAAACGACCTTTAAGACAAGTTTCTTTTTGGAGTCTGCACCTTCATTATGCAACACCTACAGCAAACGTTGATGTACTAAGAGGATTTCTAAAGGAATTAATATAGTTATCTGGAAGTATTGCCACCAAAGACAAGGCAGCTTCATAACTGGTATGCAAAAGATGAAGTCTCACTAACAATGCGCCAAAGTTATTTTTATCTTGTAAAAGAACCTCGTAACAGTAGTCAATCGTGTTCTTCCTTCGACCGAAGCTGGAATTACATACAGAACTGGGGTGACCAGGTGTTATCTAACATACGATATTTATTTAGAGATAAATTAGTAAAAGAAAAACAGGAAACGTTCTATAGCATTGAAGCGAGACGTAGTCACAGAAGGCGACTCATATATTTTTAATGTTTTGTTCCCAGCCGAAAATGGATTATTAGGTACCTCAACATTCAGGGTGCTGATGGACGCAATGACTGGGCTGTGATCACGGCTAACGAATCAACTGCTGTTCACTGACCAACAGAGTTAAAGGTGTTTTTGAAACCCCTCACTGTCGTTTATATATTTTGCTTAGCAAGCACGTTTTTTATTGCAAGTCTGCAGCACCGGACGTAAAAGCAGCTCGTCCCTGTGGCTGCAAATTCTCTCCTTTTCAGACTACCTCTCTTCGAGTGTATACATACATTAGACTTTATTGCCTTAAAAATTATTCAGTGGTCATACAAATAACTCGACCATACTCAGATGTTTATCCTACACCAAATAAATTGTGCGCATTTGTACTAGGAAAATGACCGAAAAGTTAATGTGCATTTTCGGTAGTTTTTTGTTGTCAGACTTAAGGCAAACTAAAGACCCGTGGCCTGAGATTGTCCTCTTTGTAGCCTTAGAATGCCAAACTACTTGTTACTCATTTGCGGGCTTCTGAATCTGGTTCACTCCGGAGTGCATTCCCTGGACTCAAATCTCAACTGGATTCGACCTTGAATCAGAGCGTTGCTCACCAGCGGCCACAGCTACATAGGGGACAAAAATCGGGCCTCTACCGTCTACATCGGTACCGGTCTGGTCATTTGTCGTCATGTCGCCAGCCAAGATGGCTGGAGTCCAAGCAAGTAACTGGAACCTGGTAGAGCGAACTTCATACTGTCATCATCCGTGCCCTGTCAAATACATCATGAGGAAGTTTAGCTAGCCATGGCCACCTACTATAGAGCATTCTGCATGATCCCCTGTAGCGGCTTAGGCATGTCCGGATGAACAGGGTACAGCTTAATTCCCTGGGGCTTTCTAATTATTTCGGTTGATGAAGTCTGTTTAAAAGGGTGTTGAATGTTCGCATTCTTGCCGAAGCCAGTTTCTTTCCAGCTGAAACGCGTGTATCGTCTGAACTCTGCATTGCAGTGCGTTAGGATGACGTAACGAGCCTGCGGCCTGACCAAGCGCGTTTTTTACTGTGCATTGCAAAGTAAAT